GACATTATCATAAAAACAACTCAGAAACTATAAGAAAGTTAGATGCCAAACTTTAAAGAATTTGGAAAAGTATTCTTGAGTGTTCGAGTTCATTTACAGCAAGAAAGAACTATCGTGCTTGTGGATTTAACTTACTGTCAAATTTGATTTTTTTCCACCAACAAAATTCTTATCAAGTATTATTATTCAAATAAGTAATATGACATGAACTTTGACTTCAAATAAATCAGCTTATTTTTGCAATTTGCTTAAATATCCCTTCTATCACAGGCAGCAGTTTACATAGTATTTGCAGCCAATTCAGCCGCGGTTCAAGCATCAATGTTTGCAGTAACTGGTGAAAGCAGTTTACAGTGGATGAAGCTTTGCAATAGATTCACAAGGTTTTGCACGCAAATTGCTGGCGCTTTATTGTGTGGCTATTTTGCATCGATATTCATGGCTGTGATATCAGCAATGTCTGCTTATAATCTGTTCAGGTTTTACTCTTCAAAGCAGTTCCTTTTGCTGAAGGGCAAATAAGATGAATTTCCTTAGCCGAACTATGTAACTCAAGATGGGTTCAAATTGTTACGCCTTCCGCGTAGGTTTATACTTCAGTTACGAGAATTGAAGTACTTTGTACGAATAAAAAGATCTGTCGTCGTATTTATTTTCCACAAGGAAGTTTTAGTCGTTTATGGTCAAAATACTACGGTCATGTTTGTTAAAGAACGATTGAAGTACGAATAAATCTGTCGTATGCTATGCATTTGCTAGGAATTCAGGATATGTCCTTTGAATTTTAGCCAAAAAAAAAGTCGATAAATTAACCTTTCATTGGCAGAAGGGTCCAATCCGACCACTTTCGTCCAAATTGGTCGTTTACTGTTTGGGTATATTTCACGTGCATTATATCCGACTACTTTCATCCAAAACTTATGCATTATCAGCCTGTTTGGGAGTGCTTTTTTAGCCCAAAAATTGATTTTTTGACCGCTATTTCACTATTTCAGTTGTTATATTTGACTTCTTCTCTCACAAGTGGGCCTTACTTTTCTCCTAACGGTCAAAAAATCAATTCTAAAAATCACTTCCAAACAAGCTCTATATGTCATTCTCGTGTACATCATAAAATGTAAACTCTGACAGCCATTATTTTGAAACTTTTTTTTTCAACATACTCATTTTCAAATATACATTCACGCAATAAAATATTCTGCAAGTGAGTTCAAAAATTTTTCCTATTTTTTAATTACATATTCTTCGATAAATTACTATTCAAAATCTTGGTTTTCCCAAATAATGATTGTCAAATAGGGACTTAATCTTCACTAACAAGTTTCATTAAAAAATTATTTTTAGATGGCATTAAAATGATGTAATTTCCATTAAACTCACAAAAATAAGAAAATATATTTATATATAAGAAAAATAAAAAAGAGAAAAAACTTTCCGCAACCCCCAAAACCCACCATCCCCTCCCCAACTCGCCATCTCTGACTTATTAAAAATTTAGATGCTCATTTCCTCTCAACCACAACTCGTCTAATATGTTAAAGAATAAATTCAACACCGAAAGACTATAAAATAAACAATCTATATATAAAGTATGTGTCACTCATTTTAACAAAATTGACATTTGAATTTTAAAATAGAACATTATTCATTAATATAGTAACATAGTTCATCAAACTCTAACGAAAAATTCAATCTAACTAAAGTTCAAACAAGTATACAAAGCCAAGAGTGATTTATTCAAATGAGCCACCATCTTGCGATGACAAGTTAAAGGATAAATTCTACATCAATTATATACCAAAATTTAGACCAATGTATAAGGAATTGTTCTATTCTTTTTAACAAATTGACCTTTTAAGACGAAATCTCAAGTTTTAATATAATTTACCACCACGTCTCTACTTCTCCACCACCAATCCCTAATAACAAGAATTATAAAGTGCATATAATAATGTGTAAAGTTGAAAAAATGCCTATACAAATATGTATTCATTTTTCCTTCAGAAATTATTTACTGAATCACAAGGCATTAATTCAATATCAAATTGTTCTTATACATGAACTTGCCTCACAAAAGAAACCAATATAGTTGTTAATAGGTAAGAGCGAAAGCCCAAAAAAATAAAGAATCAGTATCCATTTAATTAGCGTGCACTTATATAAAATGTCAATCTAATATTCAAGATTCAAGATCTCATTAGCTCAAAATGCTTAATTTACATTTTTTAATTCAAAATCATAGCTTAGGATACAAATTAGCTGTATTAATGGTTAATAGAATGTTCAATAAATAATCTCCATATTCTTAGATAATAAAAATGAATCAAATGAAAATCTAAAACTGAATCTAAAACTACTAAAAAGATAAGGTCTAATGCAGATTCAATATCTAAAATAAACTAAAAAGAATTATAGGGGTCGGGGCTGGAATAATAGAGAGTAATCATAGGGCTTATTCTCCATATGCAGCAAAGATTCCATATCCAAATATTTGTTCCTATCCATCGTTGGAATTCCTGATGACTCGTGATATTGCTCCATTGACACTAGATCGTGAGTCGAATTTATTGGTGACAACATGGTAATCGGAGCTAGATTACTGTATATCTCTGCATTCTGATATGGAGGAACATCATAAACATCTGGGTAAACCACGTTATAGGGATTCCGATAATTTGGAAAACTGTGTGGAGGAAAACGATGAACTTCTAGTGTATGATCATTCTTTTCCTGCCCTGCTGCAGCTTGATCATTGCCGTTATTTGGTTCTTGAACCTGATTTTTGTTGGCCCGTTGTCGTTTTCTAGCGTTGTTCCATTTTCCCTCGTTGTTGTAGACCTTACACAAAACCCAATCGTCCAACTACAAAAAAAAAAAGACACTCCATTGGACGACGTTGTAGATAGATAAAATTCAAGAACTCTGCAAAACCTCTCAAGATTAACGCGCAAATAAAAAATAGGTTTACCTTCATGTCATCTGCACCCTTTCGTTGGCGGGGTGGAAGATTATTCACTCGATATTCGTGCATAATCCAGGAAGTCTTCACACCCTTTGGTTTTTCGTCGTAGAATACCAAAGCCTTCTGATATCCGATAATTTCACCATTGCGTTTAATTTGTTTGTCAGCCCCGGTAGCTTTCCAGTATCCTTCACCTGCAGCTCGATCTGGCCGTTGCCCATTTTTATACTTTCTATTCCTTGGGGTAAAGAAGTACCATTCATTCGGTCCAGCTGGCTCGTAATCTTCTGTAACCAAATAGCACGAACAAAAAAATATCAATCCTTTCTAAAACCCTACCCATCTTCACTTGATTAGCAAATAATATAAAAATGATTGATTTAATAAGTTTCGTCCTACAAAAGAAACAAATAACTAAACAAATTAATGTACAGAAACTAACTAAACAATTCATCTTACTAGCAAGTTGTTCCGGGTTGAACTCGTAAAGGTTAAGGACGTTAATCTTGTTCCGAGGCAGCTCCTCATTCCTGATCTTTTTGATCAAGTAGTCATCAATAAGTTCGTCATCACGAGGCACAAATCGAATACCCGGAGGCAAACTGCCAAAGTATTCATAATCAGTAAGCCTCGAGAAATAATCATCGTAAGTATACGAAGTTGAGGGAATGCAATCATCTATAGGGTATGTAAGAGCAGCAGTTACAGTTTGTCTAGGGTTACTCTCCATCATAGGACTCTTAGAAAACCCTAATGAAGAATGTTGTTGAATGATGTTTTCTCTGAGTTACAATTTTAATTTTTAAGGTTTCTAAAGTATTTAAAGGAAACGAGAACTCTAATCAGATAAAATTTGAATTGAATAAGGATATACATGGATGCTATGTGATAAAGCTTAATTAACCAATACAAGCGTGACGATAATTACAATTAAAGAAAAGAAATTCAAAAATTTCATTGAATATCACAATGAATTTTTTAATTTCTTTTTCAAAATTAACTCAGCAACCGAATTTTTATGGGGAAATCCGTAGATGATTAATGTGTATATATAAAAAAAAACTTTGTAAAATATATTAAAAAAATTTTAACCAGAAATATAAAGTTTCATTAAATAAATAAATTTATTACTTATATGTACCACTTAATTGTGTATTACTAAGTTAATAAATTATTAATATAGTTTATTCTCGGATAAGAATTACACGAGGTTATTTTCCATTTTGTTTACTTAATATAAGAATAAATTTAGTAAATTCTTAAATTTAAAACCTTTTTCAAAAAATATATAAGTTAATAATTAGGTATAGCTGTAATCCAAATTGTAGTTTTCAAGTGTCAATTTTGAATTCATAATAGTACAAACTCCTTTGTCAATTGGGATTTTAAGTCCCCTTTTAGATAGTTTTCACAGACTCAATAAATTTCAATGCAAACTAAGAACAGAAAATACATTAGAAATATGCTCATAAGAACCACA